CACCCTCCACATCTCCGGCTTGTACCCCAGTTCTGTATGAATAAATAAATAAAACTTTAAAAAAAATAAATAAAAGTGTTGTGTAACTTAAAAATTCACAGTGTAAGATTTGCTATTTCCTTTGTGTTCCAGTTTCTTCTTTCTTCTAGATGCTACATTTTATAAACCAAAGGATGCATGATTTTCACACTCTGAAAGAGTTCATACTAACCCATCAAACTGCTGAAAGATGATATATGTGCTCTCTCCTTCATAGGGCTTGAAATCCACACAAGACTTAAGGCGGAACATTTCAAAGGCATAGAGAATGGCTCCTTTAGCATTCAGTTCTGCAGAAACCAGTAAAAATATCAATGAGCATTACTTGGATCTTGTATACAATACATGACTAATGGATTAAAGAAAGGCATGCTACCAGATGAAATCCTTAGGGGTCCATTATAGATTTTTGTGGTAGTTAGTAGATTCCTTTAAAACTACAAGTTAAAAAAAAAAAGGCATGGATATAAATACTAAGTGTATACTTTAAATACATCATGTAAATATAACAAAATAATGATAATATATCTATGTGGCTTGACAAAATCATAGCTCCCTCACTTTCTGACTTTCCCTTTCTTCCATTCAGTGACCTTAATACATTGTCTCAGGAAAGTCACACTGTAGAGCAAGACAGAAGTGACAGCAAGTCATGGTTGTATTCTGAGAATGAGATAACTATAAATAAAGCAACTTGGAGAGAAGTAGGGAGAATGACCCCAGCTAAAGTAGGTGATCCTGACCCCAATTAAACAGACATCCCCACTCATTAGAGAAAGATAACAGAGCTTACAGAGCCTTGTTGGTTCTGAAAACATAAAAAGTATGTGTGACATTTTAGTCTCTTCCCTGCAAGACCATTGGGTAAATGGCAAGTTAGACGGCTAGCACTGCAGAGAGCTTTAGAATAGTTTTCTGTAACTCAACCCAACTGTAATCCAAAGCAGCAGAAGCCTAATGAATTTGAAGGAGCAAGAAAAACATATGCCTACTAGTGGTAGACAGGGACCAAAGATTAAATGTCTTTCCTTTCATCTAAAATGAACACACCGTGGCTTTCCCTGGTGGTGCAGCAGGATAAAGCACAGCACTAAGAAGCTAAAACCACTTCAGCATGAGTTCGATCCCTGCCAGCCCCAGAGGTGATCCACACGGCAGCGTGGCAGACCTCTCCTGACCTGTCTGCTACTCCCCTCAGCAGTGTACTTCATAGATCTGCCTGTCTGCTCCCTGCTCTGTCTCTGGTGAATCCTCTCACTGCCCCTGCACCTCTGGCCTGTACCCCAGTTCTGTCTGAATAAATAAATAAATCTTTTTTTTTTAAATAAACACTCCTTGACAGGGAGGAAAGATACAAAGAAGAATGAAGATTATGTTTTACTGTCGGTGGGTGTGCACATGTATGTTTGTGGGTGTGGGTGCTCATGGACACGTGTAGAGCTTTAAGTTAAAAATTAAGCTGTTATAAAAAGTTCAATTATTTATAGCCTATTTGTTTGTGTGCATTCTCTCAAAGAGTTTATAATTCTTGACAGTTTGCCAAGTATTTATCTCATGTTTTTATGACCCTTGTTTTTATTTAATAAAACTACCAAGTTGGAGATTCCACAGTTCAAATGTCATAAGATCAGCAAATTCACTATAGGAATAACACAAATGACAACAGCATAAGTATACATTAAGCTGACTAGAGGATTTTCATGGACTTTTACCTAATCTTACTGAGTGACATCTCCAGCACAAAGACCTGATCTCAACCCAGCTCGGTTGTCACCGAAGTGTCAGGAAACTGTCTATCAGGTTATGTCACTTTGGGTCTCCTCAAGCCAATAGTAGGAATTTTAAGAGTGGATAATTTTAAAATGTCATCTCTGCTGCTTCTCTCACCCCTGAACAATTTGTAGGAAGGGAGCTAACCAACTCTAATAATTTTAAGACTGTATCAAGTTCATTTAAATGGAAATGAAGTATTTTTTTTGAGTCTATTAAAGGAACAGGGGAAATTCTTGAATATTCCATTGAAATTCCAAAGACAATGGTTTGAAAATAAAGACATGTTGCAGCTTTAAAGGGTTTGTTTTGAACTAAAACAAAACCTAAGCAAAAGCTCTACAAGTTCAAGAAAACCAGTCAGTAATCCGACTACTCTAACAAAGATGGTATTATTCAGACAGGATAAACAGTCTCTACAAGGTAATGTCTACAATTTCTAATATAAAATCAAAATTGACTGGACCTATGAAAATACAGGAAAATGTGATCCACGGACAATAATGAAAGCAGTGCTCATATGATGTTACCACTCACTAATAAGCATGAACTAAGTTGACATACATAGCATCCCTGATGAAGATCAAAATCTTTTACCAAGTACTGAAAAGTGAATCAAATAAGCATAATGTATGATTCCATTTAAATGGAATTTTGGAATTGGTGAAATTCATTTATGATGAAAACAACAGCAGTAACAACAATATATTACACTAAGAGTTATTGGAATGATGGGAATAATTATGATGAAAAAGACAGATTCGCCAAAACAAACTATAATTTAATGTACAAATTTTTCATTATTATGATGCCAAATTATATTTTAACTCTATTTTTGTCCTTTATGGAGCTTCTGATTTTATCAACATGTATTCTCTGCTTTTTGGATGATTTTTTGGTACTCTGTGAGCTCAGACTGGCTAAGCAGCACTGGTCTCCCTGTGAAGTTATGCCTTTCAGTCCCTGTGAGTGAGAGTTCATCTACCTTAGTGGTTCCTCCCACTCTGAAGCTGATGAACAGGAGGAGGAAGGGAGCAGGGTTAAACCCAAGCCTCTAATTAAGAATAATTAAGATTACCCAGATTGTCAGCCAGAATGTAAGGAATGGGGAACTTCCATCTGGTGCTGGGGTCCCGCAGGCCATTTCTGGAGTTCTGTGAAAAGAGAGGCCAAAGTGACTGGGAAAGCTGATCCTGAAGCCTCTTGGCCCTCCTCCTTCACTAACCTCTCACATCACAATCTGTCAGGAAATGAAAAACAATTTAACTACGATTATCTTCTAATTATACAAGCCATAGAAATTCATTATAAACAACTTGGAAAAGTCAGAGAAAATAAAGAGACTGCAGCTGCCCAAAACTGAGAGAGCTACTACTGATTCATTTCTTTCTTGCTCATTCACTCTTCATTTACTAGGAAAACTGGGTGGGCAAGCCACAGCATCATTGCAGACTTTGTACTGTTAGTTAATTTGATTCATTTGTTTTTTGTCATCACCCACCACAGTGGATTGCTTGTGGGTTATGAATTAGATTCATCTCTTCCATGGTACACACCCCAGGGCTGGACACTGAGCAAAAACCTACAATGCCAGGACACAGCAGTCGTGAGGAAGTGTCCCATTGCTGCAGGTACTCACCTTCAACAGGATGTCCCCCTGAAAGAGGTCCAAACCCGCAGCTAGAAGTGGAGTTAAGAAAAAGAAACATGGTGATGGTGCATTGGTGAATGGCTGGGGGGGATTTTATGGGGACTACACCTGAGAGGAGAAAGCAAACATTGTACAAGAATGAGCAATGATGTAAACTATATATTAATTAATTAATTTAAAAAATTCAACTTGCAAAAAAGAGAAATACCTGAAAGTCCACTACAAAAGGCATTTCTCATCATGAAATTAACATTTTCTATTGTAAGACTTTAACTGTTCATCTTTATGCAGTGAAACTTTTGAATCAATGAAAAAATCCCCTATACGTGAGCAAATGTAGACAGTCGATAAGTTTCATATTTTGTCGTATCATTTGTTTTCACTTTTGGAACAAGAAGCTTTGTTCAAGGATTTTAGGATAAGGATAAGTTAGAAGGGAGCTCATTGATAAGAGTACCAAACCTCTCATACTTCCAGGGAGGAAATGGAGTCCTGAGACAGGAAGTGATGCATTAGTAAGTGACTGAGTATTACTCACTCGACTGAGTGATTTCCCACCCAGGATCCTTTTTGCTGTTGTAATATCCTCCCTCCTGACCTTGGGTAGATGGATGGATTTTGCTCTTTCCTACATAAATCAATGGTAGTCTGCTAAGTTAAGTTCAGGTCGGTGCCTTTCTAATTCAAATCAGACAAGTATAAATAGATGCATTCAAATTTCTATCTCCAAATATCTGTTGTCAGGATCATAGCAGAATAAACTTTCTCCCCTCTGGTATTCCATAATTCTGGCCTCATACTCTTTCTGAAAATAAGACCTGTTTTAAAAAGTTCTCGTAGCGGCCCTCCCTGGTGGCGCAGCGGGTTAAAGCACTGCATTGAGAAGCTAAAGCAACTTTCGCATGAGTTCGATCCCCGCCTGCCTTGGAGGAAACCACATGGCTCCTGCCTTGGAGGAGACCACATGGCGTGGCAGACCTCTCCTGACCCGCCCGCTGCTCCCCTCAGCAGTGTACTTCATCGATCTGCCTACTCTGCGCCCAGCTCTGTCTCTGGTGACGCCTCTCACCGCCCCTGAGCCTCTGGCCTGTACCCCAGTTCTGAATGTACAAATAAATAAATCTTTAAAAAAAAAAAAGTTCTCGTAGGAATGCCCTTACAAACATGTAAAAGAATGTCCTTTCTTATCATGACCCTCATGTGATAAGAAACCTCCTTCATAAAACAAATTGTTTCAGATAGGCTCATTGGATTGTACTTTATTCTGAAGATAGCCTCTGACTTTTAAGTGGGAAATCAAGCTACTGAAAAATTACCACAACCAGATACAACAGCCAAGGTCCCATTTGACCAAACCTACGCTCATTCTAGAACTGGATTTGGCCTGAAAACAATGTTAGGTATTAAGATTTATGGTTTTAATTGCTAATGATAAACCAAAGCTGCCTCTATATCATTCCTTTCTGAATGCACAAATTCCCCAATTTGTTAGCTTCATAACCCTAAACTTGTCATATGGTAAGGGCACAATTAAACAAGCAGCAGGAAGACCACTGCCCCACTATTAACAGAACCCAGGTTTTAAATTGTCTTTTAATAGGGCTTCAATAGACAGTCCATTCACAATTTTGCCAAGGCTTAACCTGAGCACATGTGCTCATTTCCTGACACCTGGGCAGGAGTCGTGATGGTGATGGGAGAAGGGTTGGAAACAAGCTCACTTGGACATTGACCTCAATGTCAGGTCAGCATGAATGGAATCACAAGAGGTTAAGAGCTTGCCCTAAGAAAAATGCTTCCAAAGAAATATCCATGTAAAGCAAGTCCTGATCTGCAGGACTGCCCAGATATTATAACTGCCCAGTTATTTTCCTAGCATATACTTAGTACCTAATATGTCCAAAGCACTGTTCTGAAGATGTAGCAGAGACTAAAACAATGCATTCAAATGCACCCATCCGTTGCTCCCTTCAGCAGTGTACTTTGTCGATCTGCCTGTTTTGCTCCCCACTCTGTCTCTGGTGAATCCTCTCACCCACTACACCTCTGGTCTGTACCCCAGTTCGGTAAGCATAAATAAATAAATATTAAAAAATATTAGCATGGGAGAAAATAATGCTGAGGTGGGGGTGTTGCTGTTTTAACCTCAGGGAAGGTTTCCTTGAGGAGGTGTCATTTAAGCAGACATAGGATGAAGTGAGTACATGAGGGAAGAGTACAGAAGACAGAGATGTCAGCAAATAGAAAGGCTCTGAGCAGGAAAGCACTGCTGACTCAGAACAGTGCTTCCCAAATATGAGTATCAGAATCTCTGGAAGGGATTGTTAAACAGATTGCTGAGCCCTATCCCCAGGGTTTCTGATTCAGTAAGTCTGGGGTGGGGTCTGAGGATTTTCTCCTCACAACCTCCCCGGTGATGCTGATGCTGCTAGGTTGGGCGAGGGCACACATGAAGACTCACTTTTGTAGAGGAATAGCTATGAGGCCAGGGTGCCTGAAGAGCTCAAGTAAGGGGGAAAGCATTGAAAAACAGGGCAGAGGAATATGAACAAGAATCACCTGGGGTGTCAAAGTAGAGATGAGATTCTATAGATGTGATTTGGGGGCCAACAAGCTGCCTTTCTGTCATAGATGTTAGGGTACAAGTAATATTATTAGCCCGTGGACCATACTTTGAGAATCAAGGCCCTTTATTATCTGTTGGATGAGATTTTAAAATGTAGGATCAGAGAAGGGGCTTCATGGCATTGGAAAGAGGGTAGAAGGGGAAGAGCAGTTTCAAGCATCTACAAGGGTCAGGCCAGGGACAAGGGAATAACAACAGGTTAGAAGGGAAAGCTCTGAAAGGTTGTAGGTTGTGATATAAGATGATTGGCAGCATTGATAGCATTTGCTGACAGGTTTTGCATGAAGTGTGAGAAAGGTCAGCGTTCAGGGCCACTTTGAAGTTCTTGAACCTAACCACCTAGAAAGATGAACTTCATTTGCTGAAATGATAAGGATTAAACGCAGCAGGTCTTCAGGTAGAAAATAAAGATTAAATAAGCATTGTGAAGCCTGTCAGAGGATAGGGAAAAAATGACCACTTTATAAAGTTTTTCCAACCCCTTTGTGATTAAACTCTGATGAGGTGGGGCCCTCCCTGATAGCGCAGTCGGTGAAAGCACAGAACTAAGAAGCTAAAGCCACTTCTGCATGAGTTCACCCTGCCTGCCCCAGGGTAATGAACATGGCACAGCAGACGTCTCCTGACCTGCCCGCTGCTCCCCTCAGCAGTGTATTTCAGTTGATCTGCCTGTTCTGCTCCTCACTCTATCTCTGGTGAATCCTCTCATTCACCACACCTCTGGCCTGTACCCCAGTTCTGTATGCATAAATAAATAAATCTAAAAAAAAAATATCTGATGAGGTGGCAAACCTATCCAGTTCTGCTAGTTGGTTGGAATGAGCCCAAAAGAGATAAGACCCACATGATATAAAGTTTTCATTGGGGTCACAAGTCAGAGGTGGTAGTGGAATCAAAGAGTAAGAAACAGCTCTATGATAAAAGAATTATCTTTATTAGGTAAATAAATATGAGATTAGGAAAAAGAATTCTAACCACAACCCAGTCTTAAAATACTCGGAATTGGGGCTCTCCTTCATGAACATCAGGTTAAAGCATTGCATTATAAAGCTCTCCAAAGCCACTGCAGCACGAGTCCTATCCCCCACTAGGGAACTGACCCACATGGCATGACAGACCTCTCCTGACATGCCCGCTGCTCCCCTCAGCAGTGTATTTCAGTTGATCTGCCTGTTTTTCTCCCCACTCTTAACTCTGTTGAATCCTCTCACCCACCACACCTCTGGCCTGTATCCCAGTTCTGTAAGCATAAATAAATAAATCTTTAAAAAAATACTCAGAATCATATGCACCTTGGTTGCTTCACTCTAAAAGAAAGAGTACGATGCCTTGGGTGGGAATCTGAGGGCTTGGTACCCATTTACTCGCTTGCTTTCCTACAATATCTCTACTTTGCCAAGCAGTGATTTGCAAGATTTTCCAATTAAATATCAATTTGTCTACCTTCCCTGTAAATGGAACAAAGTCAGAGAAATTTAACCTTTTGCTATGGGTTTGTTAAATGTGGTAGTCTCCAGGCAAGAAAATAATAATAATAATAATGAACAGCTATATACCAGAGATATTTTGGTGGAGTGGGGAATGGGATCAAAAACAGTGGGGGGAGGGAAATGCACTGGACTATGGTGATGGCACATGGGTGATCTGGTGATGGGAAGCCCAAGGAGATTGCAATTGAGATGGAAAAATGCACAAAAGGATGTAAAAATAAACTATTATATTATTTTTTTTAATGTGGTGGTCTCTAGATGGCACTGAGCTTTTACATCATCCTCCAGGACACCTGGAGGTGAACCCCACCACAGGGAGCTGCAGAAGCCCCCTCCCCACAAGGAATCTACTGCCCTTCCTGCAAAATGAAAACTGCACTTACCACAAACAGGACTTGACAGATAAAAAAAAAAATTGGACATGAAAGCTTTTTAAAACTAGGTATTTATGATCTTGAAACAAAATTCTAACCAAAAATACTCAGAATGTACAGGCTTCTCCCTTGTTTCAAAAGCAGGATAAGTGAGAGAGATGATCATTCAGCTTGCTTCTCCTTTTAATACATAAGGCTGATGGATTTCTTCAAGCAATGCATACAGACAAGATGTCAAAATGAAAATCTCTTTACCTCTAAGTCCTGAGCAAACAATTTATACTGAACACACAGGCCGGTGGAAGGACTGGCTCTTTTTCCCATACTAAATATAGCCATGTTATTCTTCAGCAAGCAGACTAATCATCTTTTCCAATTTTTCAAAATGGAAACTAGAAAGATGAAAATTTTCTATTTTTGATATTTGCATTTTTTTGTAAACTGCAAAGTCTATTGGATCATCAATAAGTATTTCCCCTCAAAACTATCCAATACGATACTATGAAGGTAAGAACTTTTCAGAGATTATATCACTGGGTTTTTAATTATTTCAAGGCATTAATAAAGCAGAAGTTGAACTCACCTAAATTGATTTCTGAAATATCCTTCTGTTCATAGAAGTAGGCATCTTTCACTGTTAAAAGTGGGAGGGAAATATTAGTTTTACTGAATAAAAGAGAAAGTTCAGAAAAACCCTCTATGCAATCCCACTGATTCTTACTTACATTTTTCTTCAGAAAAGTGCTTAATCTGAAAGGAAATAAATAAACAGAAAAATGAATAAATTATACTATGTAGAATTATTTTTTCTTAAAACCCAGTCGGACAGAACGCTACTTACCGACACGGCTGCAATATGGGCAAAAAATAAGATGAAAGAGAGAAAGCAAGTGGATCTGGTCGAAACCATTGTTGCGAATGAGGAGATGTTAGCAGACACCTGGTAGACACCTTGTGATCAATACTTTTGGACTTTGCCCTGCTGTCATATTAGAAACTTTAACCCTGGCGTAGATAGTGCTGTGCATATTTGCACATCCTCTCCTTGCACACACAAGACATGCAAATTTGAGAATTTAGAGCAACCCTCAAGGATCGGGGCTTGCATGTCTACACTGAAAATGAGCTAAGCAGGTAGAACAGACCTGGAGGCTGACAGCAGAGCTCCCTGCGCTATAAAAAAGGAGTCATAAAAGTGGAGGCAGTTCCTAATGGGTCAGGAGGTCTGTGGGTTTGTGACTGCTGTTTACAGGCAGCCACTGATGGTGAGGTTGTTAAATAGGAAGCACAGAGGCTTACTTCCCACCTCCTAGCTAAGCACTGGAAGTGTCTGCCAAAACAACAACAAAGACAAAATTTGAACTCACTCAATGGTTTCAGTCATTATGATTTAAAAAAAAAAAATGTCTGGGGAGGGACTTAATAAACATCCACTTTAAATAATTGGCTCTAAGATGGAGGAGGAAAATGATTTTTTAAGTGTATTATTTAATTGTTATCAGAATTTGAAGCAATTACGATAAAGTTCTTGTGAATTCTGGAGTTCTAGAAATAGGACTTTTAGACTCCATTTCAGTTTTGCAGAAAAGGTCAATATTTTTGTTTTGGTATTGCTATCTACTAAATCTCAGTGATTAGGGTTTCAGACAGACAATATTGGGTTGTTTGATACTCTCTGCCTTTTCCTGCTTCCTCCTACATGTGCTTTTTATCTTTCTCTTCCTTTCTAAACTGATCTGAAGAACACACTGTTGTGATGGCTTTGGTATCAGCAGGACAGGGATTTGCCAATTGATGAGCTGTAGCATTTTGAATATCTGCTCTTCACGTCTAAAATAGATGGTGGTAGCTAGTTTGTGGGATTAGTGTGAGGAATCATTGAAGTAATCTATGTAAAGCACAAATACCAGAAACCTGGGAAAGCACTTAATAACCTACAGCTCTTCTAGCAGGCCCCCTGCCTCTGGCAAATGGCAGGCAGGTAGAACACAGAGCTCAGCTCTCTCCTTGCTCATTGGCAATTTCATGAACGGAGGATAGGTTCTTTCACAGACAATCTTGGCACTGGTGGTTCTCTCTTTATGATCTTGATTAAGGTTGTTAATTAGTCAACAGTTATTTGCAACCCTAGATACTTCCTCATGTCTCATGGAGTCAAGTGAGCAAGGTTAGAATGTTAAGTCTTAGGTTTGAAGGGTTTATGACTTTGCAGTTAAAAAATAAATCATATACTCTTCTGGGCAAGGTCCATGGTTTAATTTCTGTCTCTGCCCCAACGTAAAGGATAGCAAGTAAGGCAATTAATGATCATGGTAGGTGAAATCCAGTAAAATATATTTTTCTTTGAAGTTATTGGGTGCAGTAACTTGTTTTGATCTGTGCAAGAATTTTTATAAGCTGACCTGTTGCAGAAGCCTTGTAAAGAAAGAAACAACTGACAGCTGGGAAAAGGGAATCTCTCCTTGTCATTCTGCCCAAAGACCTAAACTTACTCTGGACTGAACTAGGAGGATGACAAAGTCTTCGCATCAAGTCCTTCTCAGGAATACGTCTTATGCTCTGCTTCCTCTATTTTCTACCTTTGTTGGAGATGACTGTCCCTTCTGCTTTACCCACAAGTCTCTGCTTTTTACCCATCAGTTAATGTCTGACACTACTGCTGTTTCTGTCTTTCCAGGCCATCAACATATTCATGAAGTTCAAAAGTATTTAAAACAAGTGTTGGAAACTTTTTTCTGACGAGTCAAAATGGGGCCCAGTGATAGCCCAGCGGATTAAAGCTCAGCACTGCAAGCTGGCCTCAGCTGCTTCAGTGCAAGTTGGATCCCCAGCCCGGGAGGTGACCCAAATGGCACAGCAGACGTCTCCTGACCCGCCCGCTGCCCACCTCAGCAGTGTACTTCATTAGTCTGCCTGTTTTGCTCCCACTCTGTCTCTGGTGAATCCTCTCACTGCCCCTGCACCTCTGGCCTATACCCCAGTTCTGTATGCATAAATAAATAAATCTTGAAAAAAGAAAAAAAAGAGTCAAAGTGAAACAACCTTGGAAAGAGGAAAGAAAATTCTAGAAGATGACAGACAGACAGGATCTTAGAGTGACTGTTTCTTTCAGGGATACCAAACATAAGTATACACTTAGGGAGTAGTCACATCTGGGATGGAACTGGGAAAGTGAGGACCCATGTGTTAGCCAGGCAGAGAGCCAATAGACCTATGAAAAAAATGTTTGTTATCACTAATCATCAGGGAAATGAAAATCAAAACCTCAAGGAGATACCATCTCCTACCTGTGAGAATAACCCATATCAAAACAAAACATGATCAACAAAACCACAGAAACAGGTGTCAGTGAGGATGTGGTAAAAAAAGGAAATCTGACTTTTCCAGAGAAAGTCAAAGGAGTGTTGACTTGTCCAGCCCCTATGAAAACAATATGGATGTTCCTCAAAACATAAAAAAATAGATATACCCAGCCACTCTATTCCTAAGTCTCTGTCCAAAGAAGGCAAAAGCACTAATTTGAAAGAAAATGTGTACTCCTATGTTCCTTGCAGCCCATATGGAAACAACCCAAGTGCTCAAGGACAGAGGAGTGGGTCAGAAAAATGTGGGGTGTGGCTCACACACTGGAATACTGCTCAGCTATGAAAAGATAGCTCTTGCCATTTGCAACAATGTGAATGAAATTTAAGGGGATAATGCTAAGCAAATAAATCAGAAAGAGAAAGAAAAATAAGCTAGGTGGGGAAACAAAGAGAAGAAAAACAAAGGGGCAAACAAAGCCAAATCAGTAACAAACCTTTGAAATCTGACTGCAACACTGAGGCAACCAACCAGAAGGGGAGGGTGGTGAGCGGGAGGCGGGGAGAGAGAAGGCCCAATGGAGCAGAGTCAAGGATTATGGGGGCTTTAGTGGCATTCATGTTGTGGAAACATACACTTGTAAAGGTTTGAACCTCTAACCCCTAAAACAAACACAATGGTGTAACCCCAATTTATCTCAATGAAGAAAATAGGAAAAATAAACTAAATGGTGAAAGAGAAAGAATTTCAGACTCTGTGGGCCACGGGGTCCCTGGTGCAGCTATTGGACTCTGCTGGAGGAGCAAGCGCCCAGCCAAAGACAATAACTTCAGGCATGAGCATGGCAGCATTCCAGTAAAGCTGTTACAAAAACGGGTAAAGGGTCATAGCTTGTTAGCCCCTAGGTTTGAGGTAACTGACACTGCAGAGGGTGGAGACTGAGATAATGATAACAATTTTAGCAAGGTGGCAGTAGTAATTGATGTGTACAAAGTTCTTCTTGTGCACCCTTTTAAGGGCCTAAAGAATGACTAACCCACTCATCCACACAATTCTAGGAAATAAATTCCACTATTATCCCCATTTTACAGATTAAGAAACTGAGGTGCAAAAACCTGCCAGTGTCACACAACTCCTGGCCAATGATCCCAAAATACCACATGAGCATCAGTGACTTCACTTGGGACTGGCCCCAGCACCCCAAGGGTGGCCTCCATCAGCAAACTGCAGCGTACAGGCCCCCCTGTGCTATACCAACCAGCTCTAACTTCAACTGTCTAAGGAAATTAACCTCTTGACAAATATTGCCTAACTAGAGAGTCTCTCAAAATCCCCTAGAAAGCTTGTACAGATTTCTGGACTGGAGCTAGGAAATTCTGATTCAAGTTGGGGGGCAGGAGGAAGGGGCAATGTGCCAGGAATCCACATTTCTATTAAGCAGCCCTGCATTTCTGATATGCAGAGTGCAACAGAATTTAGGTTAACTAGATGTTTCCACTCTGATTAAATGAAGCTTTTGTTCTATTGCTCCCTCCTGGTTCCTTTTTTGTGTATATATATATAAACAAAACAGAAGATCATAGAGCAATCTTAGGTTTTTCACCTCCAAGAACAGCCTCCCTAGGGTGTGGCTTGAAAAACTTGCATTTTAAGGAACATGAAGGGTGGTGAATCTTATGTGAGAAAATGTGAGATTCACTGACTTTTGCAAACAGTTTATCTTGGGCTATATCACAACCAATACCAGAGGCCCCGCTGAAGAGCCAAGCAGAGACCTTTTACTTCCTTGGGCACTGAGGTCCTTGACAAAATACTCTCCATGTCCAGGTATGGATTCAGTAGATTTTTTTTTAAGACTTATTTATTTATGCATACAGAACTGGGGTACAGGCCAGAGGTGCAGGGGCGGTGAGAGGATTCACCAGTGACAGAGTGGGGAGCAATACAGGATGATCGACAAAGTACACTGCTGAGGGGAGCAGCGGGAGAGACAGGAGAGGTTTGCTGAGCCATGTGAGTCACCTCTGGGCAGGGGATCAAGCTTGCACTGAGGTGGCTATGGCTAGCTTGCAGTGCTGCGTCCTAACCCATTGCACCACCATGGAAGGCCCTGGTTTTTCTCCCCTAAGGAAACATAATTGGAACAGAGACACCTCCACAGAGTGGGGAGTTACCATGTTCCCCATGTACATGCAGCCATCTTGGACTAGCTACTGGGAACAAGGAGAGGAGCTGAGCAGCCAGGAGAAGCTATGCAACCCCGAAGGCAGGTGGGTTCCAGGAAAGACCTGTGGAGAAGGTGCTTACTTCTCAGCTTTAGACTGGCACCGGGGGGGGGGGGGGGGGGGGCGCATGTCACTTCGGTCGTGGCAACTGGCACATGTGGGTGCTCTGGGGAGTTACCATGTTCCCCATGTACATGCAGC